ATGTATATAAATATATACATATATATATACGCGTAATAATAAATTCTTATAACATGCTCAAAAAATAGATATATAGGTCGCGTTATCTGTGCGGACTCGTTTCAAATTGTTTACAGAAAGAAGTTATTTTATCGACTTTTTTGTGAAATCGTATCCATGTTAATCCAATCCTCCGGTTCGAACGATTTTTCGATCTAATTTCGATATACGTATAAAAGGGGAGGGGGAGGAGGAGAGTTTTTTCGCATTCTCATCATTTTTCCATCTTCATAATGATTGCCCGCGTATAATAAATATTATTTGGTTTTGGTTAAGCGTATCATTTCCTCGATTTCGCGAAACAAATCGTATTATGTCGAATCTATGGAGAATGGGCGCGTATACAAACGCGAATCGCCTCTTCCGATGAGTGGAATTCACGTGTGACTCGTGCGTGATGTCACAAACCGTTAAAAGCGTTTATCTTGAGAGCGGAGGTTATGAATAATGTATGCGGGGGTATTTTTGCAATTACACGGAAATTTACGCAACAATGTAATCGCATTGCGTAACCAATTCGCGTTTCGCGTGTTCCAAGATATTGTCGATATTCGTTGTTGATGCTTTTTCTTTTGATCCTCTCCTTTATTCGTGGAAAAAAGGGTCGCGAACATCTTTCATTCGAGATTGGAAACGCACGGTGGATTTTTCTAAAGTAAACTACACACCTCTTTTATATTTAGTCATCGGGCGTCGGGGCCGTAGCCCTCTTTTATAGCTCCGTATATAACACGTGTGTAAGTCCAGTTATTAAAAGCACAAGTACGAGTGACGTCAGTGACCGGTGCTTACCGATTACCGACCATTACGAACGATCAAATTTGGAAATTGGCAAACTCTCCTCTATCCGATACGATGAAAAATTAGTTTAGTTTCTTCTTTCGTTTCCTTCTTTGTCTTTCCCTAACCCTTCGATCGAAGATTTCAATCTCGACTCGTATTATTCGACTCCAAGTATCTCCTACTATTACTACTACTACTGCTACTACTACTACTACTAGTGGCTTCCTCCGCCACTCTCCGCTTCTTCCATTATCTCGACCTCTCTCTCTCTCTCCAGTTTCTATAATTAGCATCTCGTGTTTTCGTATCGATCGCGTTGTAAATTTCGTTCACGTACGATTACGATGCGTTTCGATCTCGCAACGAGATAATATTGGATATTTCGAAAGAGACGAGCGATATCGGTGCTCCGATGATAAACAAGTCGAACGAAAGGAAACGCGGGAATAAAATAGATTTTATTGTATCGATCTTGAGGCGTTTCGAATTTATTATATACGGATATTAAAAAATACTGAGAAAAAATAGTAATAAAAGAAGGAGAGAAAGAATCGAAGAGTAATAACGAGTGATAAGTGTAAAAATTTTAAAACGTAGAGAACGTAGATGGTTCGTAAACGTTGTTGGTTGGTCGGGGTATCGGTTGCATCTTCCTCTATCTCGTTGAAATCACCCGGTAAACAAGCGTGTAGGCGATTTCGACGCCTGAACCGAGTGCACATCCTTTACGAGGCATAAAAGAAGATAACTGTCAACGTGTAGGGTGGCGGATGGGAATGGAATAAACGTTAGGTCAAAAGGTTTACGCATTTTTTTCGAACCCCGACAATGGTCCGTTATGCCGCCAAGTTATTCAGTATCGTGAGAAATAGTTCGGAAAGGGAGCCTCTCTCTTTTTCTTCTCTTCTACCAACTTTTCCTTCCAAATTCTCTCATTGATCGACGCGACAATGAAAATCTATATAAATCTGTCCCTCGTAGATAGATTTCGGGAATCGAGTTTCAAACCATTCGATCGATTTCGTTCCAAGAATTCTCCAAATTTTTCGAGGTTTTTCGAGATTTTTCAAACGACCAACGAAATGAAAGAAGAAAGACGAAAGGAAAGATTCTTCTTCTTCTTCTTCTTCTTCTTCTCTATAATATACTTCGATACTTGGATCGGTTTACACTCAATTATAACGTATAAACTCGCGTTAATCGAATAATTTGGTATAATCGACACGATCGATCGATCGGTACAATATATCGAAGATTGCCTTTGATCTCGAAGAAGGAGATAGCGGGAAATCGAGAAGTAATTCGAGATCGCGCAACAACATCGCGTTCCTTCCTTCCTTCCTTGCTTTAGAAAAGAATGGGAGGATAAAGATTATTATTATTATTATTATATAGCTTCTCGATTTCACCCGTTTTCGTTGATCTCTCTGATTTTCCGACGAAGAAACAAAGAAGCGGCGATCGAAACGACCGTTGCTTATTGCACGCTAACAATACCGTACTTATTATTCGTAAAGTATACGAGGAAACTATGGTTTAGAGGG